GAAAAGACCATTCTCATGTGGGGAAAGAAAATGTTTTCCAGTATCCAGAGACTGTCAGCATCTGCACCATGAGGCAGACACGGGTGAGGGCTGGCTTTGCACAGCCATGGCTGGACACACAGCCAGCCTGAGAGGGACACTCAGGGAGCTAACCCAAGCCAGCAGGACTCCTGCTGGCTCAGTGTGTGTCCCCTGGAGCTGGTTACAGACTCTGGAGGTTGACAGAGCACAGGTATTATCACCTCTCCCTTTCCACAATCTCTTATCATCATAGTTGACCAGAGACACAAGTAGGAAGAGAAGTTTCTGCTGGCAACTGCTCCCACCAGCTATGCACTGCATGGGAAATGTGAGCACATCTTGTTGCTTCAGACTGTCTTCAGCAAGAACTTCAGGCATAAATCCATCAATTCTACTTCTCTGGGCAAGCAACAAAGTCAGAAACCACCTCTTGTGTGTCTGCTTAAGTAACAAACCAAACACTTGTGTCTTACCTTACAGAGCCTTCTGGAATGTTTGGAACATAGAGTGTTACAGGTAAAGGGGCTTGACTTGAGGCCTTCATGTTTGCCATGGCATGGAGAGCTTCTGGCTCATTGCGAGGGGCTGACACCTTAGTGCAGCCTAAGTAAGTCAGTTTGTTAAACAACACACTGTCCTCTTCCAGGGGCTCACTGGGAGACGTTGGCCTTGGTGCAGAGATTTCTGAAAAGGAAAAACAGCTTCTTGAACCATTTGCTTTGATTTTTACAGTGTTTCTCTGAATGATTTCCATAGCAAAATCTCCTACATTCTCTAGGAATGGACTTAAGTTGACAGTTGAGTTCCAACAGTAAGCAACTCATTTGGCAGCCTCATATTAACATGAAGCCTATTCTAACCTAACACCTGTTTCCAAGTGTGGCTTGGGGACAAAATGCCCCTGAATTCTCTTTAGCAGCACTGGAACACAGCATGGACAAGGAGTAATGGGGATAAATTGAAAGAAGGAAATTTAGATTAGATCTTAGGCAGAAGTTTTCCCTGTTGTGGTGGTGAGACACTGTCCCAGGTTGCCCAGGGAGGCTGTGGCTGCCCCAACCCTGGCAGTGTTCACAGCCAGGTTGGATGAGCCTTGAGCAACCTGCTCTGCTGGGAGGTGTCCCTGCCCAGGGCAGGGCTTGGGGCTGGATCATCTCTAAGGTCCATCCCAACCCCCTGACATTCTATGAAACCTTTCCAAGTCATCTGCACTATTATCTCTTTCCTTATCACTAGAGCTGCTATTGCCATAACACTTAAGACTCATACAGGTTGCAAAGCTGAATTATTCCTGTTGGGGTGGAGTTGGGGAGGGAAGGCATCTACAAGGATTCCTTTGTTCATTCAGGCCAAGAGCTGTGTCCTGTTTGAAGCACATCAAACAGGGAGCCAGTAGGGTAAGTTTCTCATAAACAGAGCACACATGCAATTAAGAGATGGGTGTTTCCACTTCACATAAACTCTCTTATTCTGCCACAAAAACTTCCCTTTTTCCATTTATCCCCATTACTCCTTGTCCTGTCACTGCAGTTCCTAACAGAGTCCCTCTCCAGCTTCCCTGCAGCCCCTTCAGACATTGAAGATGCTGAAAATAATCTACTCCTGTCTATAATGCTCAACCAGTAAGAAGAGGAGGCCCCAGGGTACTCTCCAGAGTGATTCTGGAGTGAAGTTCCAGAAAGCTTTATATCAGTTGTAACTTGAAATCGCCTGAAGACCAAACCTGCCATGCATGAGTAAGGGGGAAGCACTTGGGCACTACCTGTAGTAGAGGGGTCCAACACAAGGTGCAGAGATGGCTGGTTACTCTGCCCTGCTGACCCATCTGCCCTGGTGCTGCCATCACTGGAACCTTCCTGCAGAGCAGTGACATTTTGGTCTTTCTCAGAATCCCTCAGTATCTCTTCCATTGCCTTCTCCAGCTGATCATCTCCATTTGAAAACACCTGCAAGCAGAAGGAGATGACATTTTTAAAGGTACTTGTAGCTTTGCTTCCAGTGTTATTTTTCAGTAATGAAAATTACTCATTGTAGAAGTTAAGAAACTTTGCCAGACAAGACAACAGAGGAAGAATCAACACAATGAAATCAAATATGATCAAGTGTCACATCCCATTCCATATAATGCACATGTACTCACTGCTAATCCAACAACCATCCAGCAAAAAACTACAACCCTCTCTTACAATCACAGGTTTGTGTATTTTGACCCTCCATTCAGAGCAAAGAGCAACAGAGTTTGCTGAAAACTAGTCTTAAAGAAGATTTCACTTTCTTAGGTATATCCAGTCCAGTTCAGCTGTTTCACCAACTGCCCCACACATGAGAGGTGTAAGTCTAAGGAAATGGCAAGAAAAAGGCAAGACATGCTTCCCATTAAAAAAACACAGCCTTGCACAAGTACCAGGCTGGCAGACACAGAAAACCCATGGCCCAAGCTCCCTCCTGGATCCCTCTCCAGACTAAAGCAGCAGCCAGTGCTCAATACAGACACAAACTATCAGCTGCAAATAGCTGCCAAAGACACACTGAGCACTTACTGTCATTTCAAGGGGAACAAATTCCTATTGTTCCAAGCAGACCAAAACCAGTAAATGAGCTACTCCAGCTCAAGTGGGGAAATCTGTAATTACCCCATCAGCTGTCACTCAAGTGCTAAAATATTCTGCTATTTAGAAGCACAAAGCTTTCAGGAACGGTCTTAGTCATGCCTAAAGTAGCACTAAGCAGGAAAACTACATTAAAAACTAAAACCCAAGACCCTCTGTGGTCTACTCCTATGCAGCCTGAGTACATGGTTTTAAGATAACATTCAGAGTGTCTGATCCCTAATAAAGAATGTTTCTCAAGCTTTAATCCAAAGCTCATTCTTTGAAATTCTTTTAGCCCTTTACTAATGTATAAATCAGAACCTTTTAGCCCTTTACTAATGTATAAATCTACAGAATACTAACAAAGCTAAACCTCAAATAAGTTCTTAAAAGTAAACCTGAACTGCCACTTTTGGACAGATTTGCTTAATTCAGGCTGTTAATTTCATTGATAATAAGGACAAAAATTACAGCCTTCGAGTCTCCTCAAGCACACACAAGTATCTTTAATTCAATGGTTAATTAAATAGTGAAAAGAAGTGGCAATACTTCAATCAATACAAATCTTGTGTAGCAAGTTATAGTTAACCTTTAGCTGAGGTTTTTCATCTTTTCCAGAGGTGTCTTCAGATTGCTGATGAACCAGGACAAATTCTTCATTAATTAACGTGGATACAGGTTCAGGAATCCTACTGGCTTTGCTGAATGATGTTTTCACTTCCATGCCAGGTCAGTACTCTCCTGCTGCCACCAGAATCTAGAAAAGAAGGAAAGATATTAAACAATTAGTTTTGAAGCTGCACACAATATCACAGAATCAGAAAATCAACCTGGTTGGGAAAGACCTCCAAGATCATCAAGTCCAGCCCTACTGTGGTCACTAGCCCATGGCACTAAGTGCCACATCCAGTCTCAGCTTGAAAACCTCCAGGGATGGGGAATCCACCACCTCCCTGGGCAGCACATTCCAATGCCTGAGCACTCTCTCCACAAAAAATCTCGACACTCCTCCAGGCTGAACACCCTCATGTTAACAGGTATAATATGAAGTTATCGTGGAATAACATAATACTTAAAATTATATGACTGCATTCTATTATATCCCTCAAACTCTGACTTCATTGGTATACAGCACCCATTTTTACAGAGCAAAGTATGATTTTAGGGGGGGTGTTTAAAAACCCTCCCATTTAACAGCAGTGCCTTTCACTTCTCCTCTTTTTCACCTTCCTCCTCAGTTCCTGCCCTTAGTTCTCTCTCATCCAGATATATCCCTTACTCAGAGTGTCACACATGTGGAGGTACAGATTGCCTGAAGGCTAATTTTCCAAAAGCTGCACACCAAAGTGTCTGCTCTCCACATCAAAACACACTTAGCAATCCATTATGTTAGGGGCTTTGTTATTCTTCACAGAGTGATACCACACCAATGGTATCAACAAACCCCCCTGAAACCACCTGCAACAGTTAAAAAGAACCACAGCACATGAAAACAAATAAACACCAACCACAACAAAACTATAAATACTATGGAAACAGCAAACAAATTTTGCCTTGAGTGCACAGCAAGAAATTAAACTAGAAACAAAGAAAAAGGACAAAATAATGGTCAGCCTATACATGACAAAAACAGAACCAAAACCACTCTGAGCACTTCAGCATGAGGACAGAGCCTGTAGGTATCCAACAGACATGGACAGTGTAATCAGTGTTAACTCTGAATGTCCTCCCTGAATCCTTAGGGAAAGGAGAGCTGGATTGAGGAATATTAGCTGTTAGACTAGTTATGTTTTAAATGGATTTACGTTTTCATATTTGCTATGTTAAAGAAGAGAAAATAACTTTCTAGACAGCCCTCTCAAAGAGCAATGCACTTCCCCACACAGTTTCTTTCCATTCCAGGTTCCTGAAAAACACTGCTCTGGCTGAGTGCTGGGATTTATTGTGCTAAAGACTCAGAGTTCAGGGGAGTCACACACAGCACAGGGGGAAACAACCTCTGCAAGGCTGGAAAGTGCCCAAGGAGGGGTAGCTCAGCCAGAGGGTGTTTGAGGCAGGGAACAGGAGAGGCTGAGCTTCTCCCTGCCCGGCCCAGCAGCACCAAGGAGCAGAGCTGTGCCACGCTGGCTTCTGCTCGAGTTCCACAGCACCAGGGGACCAAGGAAACAATGCTAATTTAGGCCTAGCTGGAGGGAACCACAGAAACAGCACTAAAAAAAGCCATGAGTGTTCCTCCCCGTTCTGAGCAGGTGTTACTGAACTAGTGCTAGCCACAAGAGGCAGATCAGCAGCTTCACACCAACACACCACCAGTGTGGGAACTAGGCTAACTTGCAGTGCATTCATATGTTGTATCATTTTTGAAACTACAGTCAACATGCCTTAGCCCCTTCAAAGACTTGGCCTGGCACAACTAATTCCAACTCCACAAAAAGCTTTTCCCTTTCCCTAAAAAAACACAGTGTTACCCAACAACCCAGTGAGGGTATTATATATACACATGTATTACTGGAGAGGGACTCTTGGTTAGGAGCTGCAGTGACGGAACAAGGAATAATGGGGAAAAATTCAGAGAGGGAAATTTAGATTAGATATTAGGCAGAGGTTTTCCCTGTTCTGGTGGTGAGACACTGTCCCAGGTTGCCCAGGGAGGCTGTGGCTGCCCCAACCCTGGCAGTGTTCACAGCCAGGCTGGATGAGCCTTGAGCAACCTGCTCTGCTGGGAGGTGTCCCTGCCCAGGACTAGATGATCCCTGAGGTCCATTCCAACCCCTCAATACACCCTGAAACTACTACCCATAGAAATCCCAGAATAACTGAAGAACTCAAGTTCTTCAGAAAACTGACTTGTATGGTATAAAAGCTCCTTAGAAGAGTCACCTTACAAAAAAGCCAAACCACAGCTCTAATATTCACAGAGCGGTTACAAATTTGGGTTGGCAGTTTAGCACACTCTGATGTCTTTCATACCTCCAGACTAAGCATGAACTTGCAAGCAGGAATATTTTCCTGACAGATGATGTAATCTGAGCTCCACCCAAGCCTAGGTAATGGATTCACTGCTGCCACAAGTTTTACTGCAGCTCTTTTAAAGCATCTTTGCTTTAAAGATCCTCCTGACACAAAAAAAAAGTCTTAATAACCAAAATTTCAAGTATTAAGCTTATTATCGCCACATATTTTCATTGCTGAAGAGCTTGTTTGCAATAAATAGCAAGTCTAGCTCAAAATACTAGTCTAAGAGTAAAATCTCAATATGAAAGTGAAGGTCCACTATTACAGAACCCTTTCTCAGGGCCATGACAGGGCATACTATTATGCTCCCCAAATACACATCCTGAGGAATCATCAGTTCTGCAGTGACATTCCCCCTGGAGAAAAACAGCAGAGGTGCTGTCAGCCATATCAGGAGCAAAATTCCAGGATTCCAGGAGGCCCTGCCACCCACACCTGCTACTGCTGGACTTCCTGAGGATGATGAGCATGAATCCTCACCACTAGTTCCAGCACACTGCAGAAAGGAGGGATCAAGATCTATGCTACTTGGACAGGTTTTTGTGGTCTTCTCTATCTAATTTTTGTGGTTACTTACAGGAGAATAACACAGAAACTTCAATATAATGGCATGGAGCTGTGTCAGGACAGGTTTAGGTTGGATATCAGGA